ATAGAGAATCCACAGGCTTTGAAGAGTTCATAGGTTTAGGGACACACTACTGGTCCTTGGTCTAAAGGGGATCCTTCTTCTTGTACAGTCTTGTGGAAGCTCTGTAAATGCCAACTCAGATTTTCCAGTCCTTTTTATACTTAAAATCAAGACAGAATGACACATAACTTAGAGCCTAAAGCAGTCAACCAAGGTACAGCAGCACCCTGTAGTGCTTTGAAATCATTTCAAGGCAATGTTAAAACTTTTAGCTGTACAAATGATTCACAAGATAAACTCAGAGATTTCCAATACTAATTCCTAGTGTTAAAAATATGCTGGTCTGCCATACAATTTCTGAGCTCTTTGCAACAAAATAATTGCTGTATTATTTTTCTGTAGTAAAAAAAAGAACATGTAAAAATGATAATCTGGCATTTTCTATGTACATTCTATGAACATTTAGATATTATCATTTTCTGAAAATTATAATAAAGCTTTAGCGATTTTGTAAACCAGTATTCATAATAGGCTTCTAAAGGCTAATGGATGCTTTCTGTGGATCCTAGAAAGTGGGGCTGGTAGGGACCTTAACAATGTGGCAGTACGGTGGCAGAAAGAGATCTTGGAGTCATTGTTGACTCCCAGATGAACATGGGCCGACAATGCGAGGTCATGGTCAGTAGGGCTAACTGTACCTTGTCATGTATCCACAGATGCATCTCAAGCAGGGCCAAGGAGGTGATCCTCCCCCTCTGTGGGATTGGTCAGCCCGCAGCTGGAGTATTGTGTTCAGTTCTGGGTGCTGCACTTCAGGAGAGATGTCGACAGCTTTGAGAGGGTCCAGAGGAGGGCCACCTGCATGAACTGGGGGGTAGCAGGGCAGGCCCTATGCAGAGAGGCTAAGGGACCTGAACCTGTTCAACCTTCACAAAAGAAGGCTGAGGGGGGACCTGGTGGCCATCTATAAACTCACTAGGAGGGACCAGCAGGGTTTTGGAGAGACTTTGTTCCCCCTAACACTCCCCAGGGTAACAAGGAATAACAGCCACAAGTTATTAGAGAGCAGGTTTAGACTAGACATCCGAAGGCACTACTTCGCAGTCAGGGTGGCTAGGATTTGGAACCAACTTCCAATGGAAGTGGTGATGGCTCCTACCCTGGGGGTCTTTAAGAGGAGGCTTGACATCTACCTGACTGGGGTCATTTGAACCCAGTTTTCTCTCCTGCCCAGGGCAGGGGGTAGGACTTGATGATCTACAAGGTCCCTTCTGACCCTACTTCTATGAATCTATGCATCTATGAAAGGTAATTTAGTCCAACCGCAGGGTAGGATCATCTTTAACTAAAGGATCCCAGTCAAGTATTTGTCTACCTGTTACTTGAAAATCTCCAAGGATGATGACTCCACAACTTATTTAGGTAGCCTTTTCCAATGCTTATCCACCCTCATGATGAGAAAGTTCTTCCTTATTTCCAACCTAAATTGCTACAATTTGAGACCATAGTTTCTAGTCCTGTCCCTTACAGACACAGAGATTAAGTACAGACATTCAAAGAACCTGAGGCAGAATTAATCAAACCTTCATGGGTTTCTCTAAGCTGCATAGACTGGATCCAGAGTGAACAGAACGAATGCCTGTTCACTCTTCGATGTGGGGGGCACACAGATACCTGCAGTAGGTGAGGCACTCCCACATGCCTCCCAATGTGCTGGAGATTACTGAGGGCAGCTGAATGCAACCTAGCAGGGACCATCCCTGATTATCTGTCAGGCACATGCCTCCAACTCCCTGCTGTCACTTTGGACCCTCCCTTATGACCAGCTCTAGGTTTCCACACCTGGCAGCCTGGCCAGTGGTGGCATGGGGCAGGGAGGGGGAAGTGCTCTGGAGACAGGAGAATTGGGCCCCAGGGAGTAGCAAGGGAGGAGTAGGGGAATGGAGGCTTTGGCTGCGTCAGACTACAGCCCCTCTGCCCAGACACAGCTCCCAGCTCTGGCCAGTAAGCTGGCAGCCCGAACAGGCAGAGCCGGGAGCTGGGAGCTAGGGCTGGGCAGGGATTCTGTGTGGTCCTGCTTCTGTGAGAACAATGCAGGGACAGGACCATGGAAGAAGCCTCTGTGATCTCCCCCATTCCCCTTCCTGCTCCCAGCTGAATCTTGGCTGGAGCCAGGAGTAGGTAGCTGGGAGCCAAGAACCTGGAGCTAGGAGCTGTGACTAGGCAGAGTGGCTGTGCAGTCCTGGCTCTTTGGGAGCCTTGGGGAAGGGCCAGCTAGATGCTGGGTTGGAGCAGTAGAGTGTGAGCCATTTTCCATTGGGTTATTCTACAAAACAGCCTGAGATGCCGGCAGACAGTGACCTAAGTGGAGTCGGGAGGGAATCTGGTACAGAAGTTCGATAGACTGGTCTAACCTAAACTGATTATGTCTGATACCATATCAGTCCAGGCCTATCTTAGAACAGATTCTGCCATTTTTAAACCAGTCTATGTGCCCCAAACTTCTGTTCTGTTATGGATTTAGATCAGTTTCTGATCCCTTATAGCAGTTTATGTGTAAAATCTGTAACTGCCGGAGAGTAAGTCAATGGGAGATTTACTGCTCACTTCAATTGAGACAGAATCGGGCCCTTATCCTATATGACAGCAGAATATTTTTTCTAAAAAAATATAGTTTGGCTGGTTAAAAGATCAAGTAAACAGAAAGTATAAAGCTACAGAAACTGCTTCTGTATCTGAAGAGAGTGTGGTTTATGGGTTTAATTTTTATGGTATATCGCTATACTTTGAATAACTAAGTAAACCTTAACTTGTGGAATCTTAATAGTCATCTCATTGCTGAAGTCTAAAGGAAACCAAAAGGAAACTTAATAATATTAAAAGTTATTTTAAAGGGAGTTCACATTGGTTTGAAGGGTATTTTGCAGCTCACACAATATCCACCTTTGTAAATTCAGAAAACCTGGATTTAAAATTCAGAGAACCTATGCACATCTTTATAGCCCTCAGTACATAAATCTAGCAAGATTCTTAAAAGATCTGCCAGCAAGGTATTAATCTTTTACAGATAAAATGAGAATCCTGAAAGTCATTATATTCTTTCTTTCTATCTATCTATCTATCTATCTAGTCTAATATAATGACTTTCAGGATAGATAGATAGATAGATAGATAGGGAATATATATATATATTCCAATGACTTACAGAATTCTCATTCTATATATTTAAGCCACTTACCCCTTTAGAAAGCTAAGGGAAACTTGGGACTTTGGTAAGTGGCATGGTACAGTGAATACAGAAGAGAATAGTCTTTACACTGTTTTGTATCTGACTTTCTAGAGAGGATTTAAACATTGAGAAATTAATTTTACTGTATTATTTAATAGTAATTAAAATAAATATATGAAAAGCATTAGATAAACACAAGATTAACAAGCCATTTAAAAATGAAATCAGAAGCTTCAACAAATATATTTTTCCCTTGCAGTCAAAAAAGTAATTATGAAAATTGTTCATAATATGTTGCCAATTACTCTGCTCCATAACTGCTAACTTTCTCAGCTCTTCTTTTAGCCTCTGCTAGGCTCTCTGTCACTGGAAACATCTTAAACCAATTTAAAATGCTACACCTGAATAAACATGTTGTAAAAGTGTTTATGTACTGAAGTGGGTCAGTTCAAGGTATGGTATTTGGCTGGAACTTCTAATTTCTCTTTTACTGCAAAAGGGCTGCCAGAAGGAGGAAGTCTGAGCTGAATTAATACATTTGTTACAGTGGAAGTAGAATGGAAACTGCTTTAACCACAAATCAAACTGCCTCTTTCATTTACGCCAGTGATAGAGTTTTTCTAAGAAATATAGACTCTGGCATGCGGCCACTGTAAGTTTGCATTTAAAAGGAAAACCTATATGCTTATTTGTTTAAGGGTTTACTCCTATGATTATTTGTAAGTTCTTTTCTCCTAAGATCAAATTTAGTGGCATTCTGCATTTGAGGAGGCAGATGCTCCTTTGTTGTCCTTGTTCACACATTTTCCCAGTGTGTATTAGAACAATAAGTAAGCACCCTTATGCTGCCCAGATTACAACCTACACCATTTCATCACCAATACCTTCCCATTTAGAGGACCTCTGTGTCCCTTCACTCTTGCACAGCTGCACAGCTTCACATGACACTGTCTCATTTTCTGACGGTTAAAGGGCTCTGCATAATACATGTACACACAGAAGTGTTTATGCTGCCAAAATAAATTCTGTTAAGAGTAAGGGTTTATTTGTTAAAATGTCACTGATGCAGTTTCAGTGACTTGTTTTACATTCTTTTCTTCTAGGAGGGTCAGATGCTATAATATAGTGAGGTTATATGCAGTCCTGACTGAACAAATACTTTAAAGAAATATGTACATCCCTTAGGAACAGAACCAGAGTCAATAATGTACATATTTCAAACTCTATTATATATTTTGTTTGAAAGACTGAGTGCCCCCATACCTGTAGAAGCAACTTCACATGAGCTTTGAGTAATGTTTTACATTATTTATTATTTAAAGCATAAATTTATTTATTGCCTACACTTCTCATTGCTCTTGATTTGCTTTTGGGGATATAGGGTTTCAGATTTAACATTCTTGTGATACAGAATAAGATGACTACATTGTGTTATATTTTCCATAGTGTACAGAGCTTAATGAGATTGATTTAATTTCTTTGCTATAAATACATATATAACACTAGCCTGTTCTATCAGTAATTTGTATAAGGCTGTAGCATATGAAGATAGAGTTTTCATGCTGTGGTAGACAGCTTGTAAAGTTGTTGAAAGCTTTGTAAATGAATCTGGAATTATCTGCTTTTGAAGTTACAGGAACAAAACTAGGTTAGGATTTCTATTGTAACTCCAGGATTATGGAGTTATAATATTAGAAAGGCAGTGGCAAAACTCCCATTGACTTCATTAGTGCCTTCATTCACCTCATGTATTTAATTTATGGTATAATAGAATGTTTGCATTACTTCATAGGTCGCAGTATCAATGTTAAATCAGCTGGTCTGATAGGAAGACATGGGCCTCAATCAAAGCAGCCATTCATGGTTGCATTCTTCAAGGCGAGTGAAGTGCTTTTTCGATCTGTCCGAGCAGCCAACAATAAAAAGAAAAATCAGAATCGCAACAAATCTGGTAGCCATCAAGATTCTTCCAGGATGCCCAGTGCTGGGGGTAAGACGAAGCAATGCTGTAATAGATACACCTGTAATCCATGAATGAACACATATTTAATTTTGCACTTAATAAAGGTCAGATGCTGTGAATATTTTTTTTTCTGTATGCTTAGATTATTTGATCTATAGAATAATGCAGTGATTATTCAGCAGCCTCCATTTTCCTGGTTGCTGATTGGTTCAGCCATGCCTTTCGATACAAAACTGGAGAAATCTCATTCAAAAGAATGAAATTGTCTGAAGTGAGAAAACAAAATACAATTGTTGGCTAGGACTAATGTACTTGTTCTTCTGGAATAAGTATATACTGGACAGTACGCATCTTTAATATGTTAAGGGGTAATCAGGTAACTTAGCACAGATACTTTTTCAATGCTTTTAATACTGTGGTTCAAACACCCGGTTTTCAAAACAGCAATGCACCTGGTATGCAGGTAATTGCAACACTACTTATTCTAAATACGGTGAATTCAAATGCTTTCATAAATACTGACAGCATTTAAATGCTCTAACTGAAGAATGTTTTCTATTTCTTACCCTTCAGAGAAAAGAAAACCCTTGTTGGGAATTGGGAAACCTTTGTCTGGCTTATGAATTCTGGGTGATATTATGAAGTTATGCCGAGGTTACTATGAAAATTGCTGTATTGAGAATGTCTCTTTAGCAATGACAAGGCCTCTTGTCTCTGTCCTATCAGGGGTAATAGTCTGTCATTAACTCTTAATGAGCAGCTATTGAGATGAAAACAGCTGGGATAAAAAAGAGCTTCTGCACAGGAGAACCAGTTTTCACTTACCTTTCTACAGGGTGCTCCAGTTTAGAAAGACACAATAGAAAACAAAAGGTGCTAGTAAGGGAATATATATAAAGTATCACAAGTCCTTACATAAAAGATTGGGACAAGAGACACAAAATGAGAAGTGGTGTCAAGAGATGAGAAGTGATAAACAGGCTTTCAGATTAGAAGGCCCAGTGTAGTGATCTACCTAATTCACACAAGGCAGGGTGGGTTGAAAATACAGATGTTTGACCTAGAAAAATCCTGGACAAGTCTGTAAGGTCCCAGCCTAGGAATCCCCCAGAATGACGAGAAAACTGATATAGGGAAATGTATGCACAATTTAGTATGGTTTTTTAACATATGTATAATTATTGTATCATTAAGGGAGGACTAATGGTGTCTTCAGAAACTTTGTGCCTATCCTGTTGCTATGTGTTTGTTTGTTTACATCTATCACATTTTCCTGTAGAGTAAAACAGTAACCCCAGAATACCTACCCAGCTGGAATTTTAGCAAAAGATGTTTTTAAGCTTCATGGAAGTCTGGAGAGTCAGCATCAGTCAATCCAAAAGAGTAAGCTATGGGTATCAAATGTACCATGTGTAAGCTGTATCTGGCCTACAGAGTTTTCCTGTGAGAAGGGCTAACCATTTGGTGTCTGCTGCATAAACCTGGGGCATGGAGCCCCATTGGTGACTTGTGCAGGCAGTGGGGGGCATGCATTGGCTACAGCTTCTATTGCCATTGTACTCATCACCTTTGAACTTTCTGAATCCAGCCTGCAAATAGCCCCTGGTCCAGATTCAGCCAGCAAGGATCCCTGTTTCCATATTTTATCCTTGACTGATAGTGTGCCTTCTGCAACCTGAACTCTTAGTCATCTGAAATGTCTTTAAAAATGTGTATAGCTGAGTGTTAATATATATGAAGATGCTTGTATTTCAGTGACTTGAATTCATTGTGTTCAGAATTATTTCTTTGACATCAAGAAGTATGAAGAATTTGTTTGAATTCCATTTTTGAACAGGCTTTTCTTATTTCTGGAGAGAGCACACTTGTATATAAATATACATACTGTTAGAAAATGCTATGTTTGTTTACACTTCTAGTGCATCAGGAATTAATGCCGTCTGAATGTCCTGTTGTAAACAGAATTCAACTTTTGGTTAATACCAGCTATTTGTGGAGAACTAGTATTATAAGACTTATGGAATCCTATTCAAAACCTCAAAATAGCAGCTTAAATGGGTCTTAAACAGTGTAAAACATTGTGCTAGCATTCTGCACAGGGATTACTAAATTTTTTCATGTACAACAATATAGTACACATCTTATTTTTGAAAGGCAGGATGAGGGTAAAAATTATCATTCCTTGTGGTAAGTAACTGAGTAGCAGCAGCTCATTGCCTGCTCTTTGTTCTGTTCCTGTGGATCACTGCAGGTTTTACTTTTGGTTTCACCCAGGAAGTGCCAGAATTTGCTCTTGCTGTATTTTTCTCATAGGTGTGCTCCAATTTCTAGCAGCTGTTTTTTGGGGGAAAAGATTCATATTGTATGCAAGAAAATATGGTAATTTCACCCTTAGTAAGGATGAATTACTACTAAATTGATACACAAAGTGATGGTCTTTTTGAATCATCTACTGTGGTCTGTCTTTGAGAGAGAATTACATGGTTTTTGAGAATTTATCTGATAATCTGTGGCAAAGCTCTGCTTTTAGGGTAAAAATAAATATGAAAACTCAGAAAATTCCAGAAAAAGGAACAGAAAGAAAAAAATGCAATAAATAGAACTATTATTAATACATTTAAGTCATGGTGGCTGAGATTTACATATAATGTATATGTATGATTTAAAAAAAAACTAAATCATAGCCATTCTTCTGTGTCCCACTCAGTACTGAGAAATGTAGCACAAATTATCCCATGAGCCAAACAGCAGGGATACCAAACATATTTTTCCATTGCTGTTGGGGGCTGTAGTCTCCAAAATACAGCCTTTAAAAAGCTTGCTGTATATCTATTGAAAAGCACCTGCAAGTTGTTAGAAGCAGTGGTACTTTCCTTATAATTGCTCTTTTACCTGTCTCTTTTGGGCATTGTAAAATTCCCTCATTTACTGTTTGACTGATCCCTAGAACAACTCACCTACAAGAGCACTTTATAACCCAACAAGGAATTAGGCAGGGGAACAATGATAATAATATAAGTTGTACTGGACAGTTAAAATTATTACTAGTGGAAAAAAAAAAAAGCAAGTCACAGTTACTTTATACCAGAAAATCCTGTTTGATTGCTTCAAACATGACTCTTCTTAAGAAATCATTCTTAATTAAGGATCTAAATGCTCTTAGAATTTTAAAAAGGAGAACTATATTGATCTTTAAAAATCTGCTATGCATTTTCTAATTCAGGTGTAAACTCTGTGTGTCAAAGTCAATGTCAATGTGACTGCTTACACAGCATCTGATTTTGTCAAAGTCATTGCCTTTGGTTGAAAAATCGCAACTGATTGCCACGCCTGAATGTGCTTTTAATTGTTAAACAACCAAGACTGGGTCTAAAGAACATTTTTTTTCCTTGCATAATGTCTGCCAATGAAAGATGCATTTTCTTTTTTATAAAATGGCTTTGAATTAGGTGGTATAATAGTCTTTTTTTGTTTTTTCTTTTTAAGGAAACACACTCAGACACATTCACTGGATTGCCTCCAAAAGAACAATCTCTGATCTTTAGGCTGAATATTTTCCTTGCATAAATTACATATAAAAACCACAATTGCATATTTCCTACAAATCCACCACTGATTCTGACAGTGATATTCTAGGCATGCAGGTAAATGCAGCTAATTCCATTCCCCTGTAATTATGTATTTCAAACCCAGGCCCCTCTCTGAAGAAACTAAGTTTATAATTAGAGGTAGGCTGACTAGAATTGTAATGGTGAAAAAGAAGCTATAACGTTGTATACTTTTCTTGGTGTTTTGTTTTTTTTTTGACTAACATCCCTAGCTTGTTTCAAATTGCTACAGCAGTGAACATTCTGTGGTTGTTTTAGTAACTTTAAGAAAGCTACTTTAAATATTGAATGTAGTACATTTTGTATTGATTAAACAGTAGGCAGCACTATTTTATACACTGTATAAATCACTACCCAAGCCTGGTTTGAATAGTACGTAAAATTAAAAAGCTCAATAGTTCTGTTAAGTAGGATCCTATTGCACTTTCCAATAAGAAACTATAGTAGAAATGGGTAGCATAGAAGCATTTGTGCAGTTTCTCCTGAAGGAAACAGGCTAGATCCGGGATAAAGATCTTCCTTCCTCAACAAGGAAAATATTGCCTGTATCTAAGTTTCTTGCTCAGGAATGAATACCTGTACATTTCTGCTCCTCCCCAACTCTTAGGGAAATACCCCCCACCCAAATTCCCCAGGCCAGGGTGACCCCTGTTAGGGAGAAGGCAGTGGTGAAAACAGTAGGAAAATGTCAGACAGGTCTGGGAAATATGCGGGGAGCAGAGGTCCCTGCTGAGTGGACCAGCACCAGCTGCTCCCCAACCTTTACCAGTCACCCCATCGGGGAATGTGGGGGACAGGGGGAAATGCGTGGCTGCAGGCTGGGATGCCTCTACATTCCTCCCTCGCTAAGATTTCTAGTGCTTCCAAGTTTCCAGAAATGTCCCAGAAATGTGCAGTGCTAGATATGAATGCCTATCCATAACCTTAGTTTCATTAGATAGTCTCTGTATTCAACTTCCATTTGCAATGATTCCAGTCCTCAGGAGACTAAAATAAAATCCCTTTAAACTTGGTGATGAATATGAACCTGAGAATGCCAGCAAGAAAAGACACACCAGCCAGGCATCTAAAAACAATTTTTCTGCTCGATCTCAGAGCACAGGTATATTGTGTGTGTGCCCCGCAGCAGTGAAGTCATAGTAAAACCAATTTAACAAACAGGGATGAACACTAGGCCTAGGTGAATAGTCAGCTTATTCGATTCAGATTCAGCCGATTTCGATTTGGCCAATTCGATTTGGAGATTCGAATCACTTTTCTAAATTGATTCGGCTGAATCGAGTCAGAAAAGATTCTTTGATTTGGAGATTCGGCCATAGGGTATAATGGGAAATCAATTAACTATATATAAATTTGTTGTTTTTTACCAGATGAATATTTCAGAGCTGTTAGCCACTACTGAGGGCATGAAGCCTGCCA